AAACGGGCCCAAAACCTAAACCTATATGAAATCTCTTAATCTCGCACTATACGGGCCAGCCCAAACCCGTTGAGGTTTGTGGGCGCCCCCGAGCCCCGCCCCGCTCACCGGCGAGCGGGGCGAAAATCCATTGGCCGAAGGCGGCGGAACCCCGTCGAGGCGCGCCCCGAACCCGCTCCACGACCGGGCCAGGGCACCCGTGTCGGGGCGCTGCCCCGAACCCCGCATTCCGCACGCATGGGTCACATGTCGTCGGACAACACTTCGTTTCCCTAGCTCACGTGGGGCGTACTCCGGTGTGAGAAACAAGGGTCCCCGAAGTATTCGCCAACTCCAACATTCTCCCACTTGGTGAATACTTCGTGCAAATGAGGGCCTTTCCAATATCATTCTTCTTCAATCCAATCGCAGTAGAGCACCATTCAAACTTCGCACCTGTGACGGCTTTAGTAAGGAAGTCAGAACTATTTTCTACCGTGTCGACCTTTACAAGCCGAACCTCTTTCTTCTCTACCTTTTCTCGGATGAAATGATATTGTATATCAATGTGCTTTGTGCGTGAGTGAAATGCTGGATTCTTAGCTAAATAAATAGCCCCTTGATTATCACATCTCACCTCTATGGCACCTTGCTCAAAACCGAGCTCCAAGCACAACCGCCGTAACCATACGGCCTCTTTTCCAGCATGAGTAAGAGCCATATACTCAGCCTCAGTAGAAGAAAGCGCTACCACGCTTTGCCTCCTGCTCATCCAACTCAATGCAGCACCAAACAATGTGAAAACATATCCGCTAGTGGACCGTCTACTATCAATATCTCCACCCCAATCAGCATCTACATGGCCTACGATATCAAACATGTTTCCATTCCCTGTACCTTCAAAACATAAAGAAAAATTCAAAGTTCCACGAAGATACCTGAAAACTCTTTTGATCGCATTCCAGTGTTCTCTACCTGGGTTAGACATGTATCGACTCAAGACTCCCACTGCTTGGGCTATATCCGGACGCGTGCACACCATAGCATACATCAAGCTACCCACTGCACTCGCGTATGGAATTCGGGCCATCTCTTCAGCTTCTTCATCCGTTTTTTGGACATTGTTCCGCAGATAGCTTGGTCCCTAAAGGTATAGGGGTACCAACAGGCTTGCAGTCTATCATATTGAATTTCTTCAATATTTCTTTTATGTATTTCTCCTGCCCTAGCCACAGCTTCCGTTTCTCACGGTCCCTCCTAATCTGCATGCCCAAAATAAAATTTGCAGGCCCCAAGTCTTTCATTTCGAACTTTTTGGCCAGCAAACTCTTCACAGAATTCACCATCTTCACATTATTCCCGATCAACAACATATCATCCACATATAGCGTGAGAATGACAAACTGATCGCCAGTTCTCTTCACATAAACGCAATGGTCAGAATTTGACAGCACAAAATTAATTTGGAGCATGTACGTGTCAAACTTACGGTACCACATCCTCGGTGATGCTTCCAGCCCATATAAAGACTTTTTCAATTTGCACACCAAATTCTCCTTTCCTCTTACTTCAAAGCCTTCTGGTTGCCTCATATATATCTCCTCCTCCAAGTTCCCATGAAGGAATGCCGTCTTTACATCCATCTGTTCTACCTCAAGATCATATGCAGCTGCTATAGACAGAACAAACCGTATCGAGGTCAACTTCGCCACGGGAGAGAAAATCTCGTCATAATCAACTCCCTCAATCTGAGAGTACCCCTTGGCTACAAGCCTAGCCTTGTACTTCTCTACAGTCCCATCCGGTTTCAGCTTTCGCTTGAACACCCATTTACACCCAATTGCCTTTCTATCCTTAGGCAATTTACACAAGCTCCATGTTTCATTTTTATCAAGCGACTGCATCTCATCTATCATTGCGAGCTCCCACTGATTCGCATCATCCATAGATCTCGCCTCTTTTACAGAACTAGGATCATCTCCGGTAATGCTCAAAGCATGAAACGTACTTAAAGCACTAAGTGAGTATCGAAGTGGTACCTTTCTTTCCCGCGTCGATCTCCTGAGAGCCAGCATGCTATCTGTATCCAGGTCTTCATCTGAATATGCATCCTCGACTTCATTAACCGAGTCCCCTTGCTCCGATTCAGAATCAGACTCTACTAGCGTGCCTTGTGGAACCATCTCCACAGTTTCAGTTTTAGGACTTTCTTCAAGCACTACCACTTTCTTGGGCTCATCACCTTTCTGTGTGCCAGCCTGGGGTTGTGATTCACGAAAGACAACATCCCTGCTGTATACAATGGTCTTTGATTCTGGATTCCACAGCTTATAGCCCTTGACCCCTTCCTTGTATCCGACAAATATGTTCTTCTCAGACTTGTTGTCAAGCTTACCCCGCTTCTCCTTGGGTACATGAACATATGCGTCACACCCGAACACCCGAACATGCGACAGATTCGGCTTCTTCCCAAACACTGCCTCATATGGTGTACGATCCTTCACTGATGAGGTCGGTGACCGGTTCTTCAAATAACTGGCCGTGGCTACAGCTTCTGCCCAAAATTCTGTCCCCAAACCTGCCCAACTCAGCATGCATCTTGCCTTTTCTATGAGTGACCGATTTAATCTTTCGGCTACCCCATTCTGTTGAGGCGTATATGGAGTCGTCTTCTGCCTTGCAATACCATTATCCACACAAAATTGCTCGAACTTATCCGAACAGAATTCACCTCCGTTATCTGTACGAAGGACCTTGATTTTCCTGCCCAATTGGTTTTCAACCAAAACCTTAAATTCTCGAAATTTCTCGAATACATCTGATTTACTTTTAATAAAATAAATCCAACTATATCTCGAAAAATCATCTATGAACGATACATAGTACCTGGATCCTCCAATAGATGGAGTCGGAGTAGGTCCAAAGACATCGCTGTGAATCAGCTCGAGAACCTCAGTTGCTCTTGTACCAGTGTGTTGGAAGCTAACTCGGTTCCATTTTCCATGGAGACAGTGTTCACGGAACCCGAAACCCATAGAGCATTTTGGAATTCCTTCTACCATCGACTTGAAGCTAAGGTAGACAAGTCCCTTTTCACCGATATGCCCTAACCTCCGATGCCACAACATGGACGTATCATGTCCATCTTCCTTGGCCTCTTCAGAAACAAACCCGCTACCAACGGTCACTATTTCCCCGAGCAGCTTGTATAATGTCCCGTAACGGACTCCTCGTGCAATCACAATAGAACCTCGAGTCATCTTGCACGAATCCTTATCATAGCTAAAAATAACCCCCGAATCAGCCATCGTACCGACTGATAACAAATTTCTACTCATCAAGGGTATGTGCATCACGTCTGGAATAGTCTTCACCGTGCCATTACTCATCCTCAGCTTCACCCTGCCACGCCCGACAATTTGAACTGCAGTATCATCTCCGAGCATGACATCCCCACCATTATATTGCTCATATTCACAAAACCAGTGTCTATGAGGCGTCATGTGGTATGAAGCACCGGTATCGATCAACCATATATCCTTGTCTGACTGCGCCATACACGCAGCAGCCAAATACATATCTCCTGCATCGACCTCCTTTTTACCCGAGGATGATTCAGCTTCTTTCTTAAAAGCGGCTTGTTTTTACGATTCCGCTTCACATGGCCCCATTCTTGACATTTCCAAAGACGTGTACCCTCCTCTCCCTACTCTTCGATCGCCCACGAGATTTGGATCTGGATCCTCTCGGATTCAGAGTCTTCTCTGCTGGCCTTCCCCTGGCCGACAATGCCTCTTTACCGGAATTTCCCGATCCCTTTCTTCGTGTCTCCTCCGATAACAAGGCAGAACACACACTTTCATACGATAATTCCTTATCCCCACCACCGATCACCACAATCAGGTTATCCCATGAATCCGGCAGTGAACAGAGCAGTGTTATTGCCTTATCATCATCTTGGAACTTAACACCGGTTGATACGAGTTGACTAATCAATGTGTTAAAGTTATACAGATGTGCAGAAAACGAGTCGCCCTCATGCATCCGAAGATTATACAGCTTTTTCCTCAAAAACAGCTTATTAACCAACGACTTACTTTGATACGGCGACTCCGGTTTCGCCATAGGTCCCCGGCCGTAGGTTCCCCATCACGTTTGTCGAATCGAGTGCGAGACAAAGCCGAATCAAACCCTTTGCTCTCCGATCAATCCGATTCCAGTCTTCAATCTCCTTCGGATCTGCCGGTTTGGAAGTTGAATCCCCATCCGTCACCGCTTCCTTGCCTATCACGACACCAGGTTGCGCAGCAACAGGCCTTTCCGTTTCGATTGCCGACCAGAGATCTCGATCACAGAGAAGATCCTCCATCTTCATCTTCCACAGATCAAATCGCGTCCCATCGAATTTTTCTATCTCAATTCGTGATCCTCCTGACATCTCGAATAAACCCTAATTCCTCGAACAACTCCGGCTCTGATACCAATTGAAGGGATGTGTCGAGAACCGAGACAGAACGATCACGCAGAAAACAGAGAAAATAGACGATGCACGAATTTACCCAGGTTCACCCTCGATTAGGGTTACGTCTCGCAAAGAGATTTCACTATGTTTTTAGGTTTACACCACTCAACTCGTTACAATGATCGGAAAACGAGCAAAATATATATATGCCCCAAACGGGCCCAAAACCTAAACCTATATGAAATCTCTTAATCTCGCACTATACGGGCCAGCCCAAACCCGTTGAGTTTGGGCGCGCCCCCGAGCCCCCGCTCCGCTCACCGGCGAGCGGGGGCGGCAAATCCCGGCCGACCGGCAACGGAACCCCGTCGGGGCGCGCCCCGAATCCCCGCCCATTGGCCAGCGGCAGGCACCGTGTGAGGGCGCCGCCCGAACCCCCGCATTCCGCACGCATGGGTCACATGTCGTCGGACAACACTTCAGTTTCCCTAAGCTCACGTGGGCGTACCCGGTGTGAGAAACAAGGGTCCCCGAAGTATTCGCCAACTCCAACACTGGCATGGGCCATCTCGTCTCGATGGTCGAGATGGCCAAGCTCCTCGTCGATCGTGACCCGCGCCTCTCTGTTACTGTCCTCATTATGAAGCTTCCGTTCGACTCCGACGTTGACTCATACACAAACTCACCTGCTACCTCCGTGGCCGCCGCCCGCATCCACTTCGTCCACCTCCCGCATGAGAACACTGAGGCCGAGATCTCCTCAGGCAATTTCATCGAACACGTTATCGAATGCAACAATCCCCACGTCAAGCAGATCGTGACCAAGCTTGCCAAATCGGCCGGCTCAACCGGGTGGCTCCCAGGGTTCGTTCTTGACATGTTTTGCACCACCGTGATCGACTTGGCGGATGAGTTCGGACTCCCGTCCTATGTCTTCTTCTCATCGAGCTCCGCGTTCCTCGGCTTGATGCTGCACCTCCAGTCGCTCCAAGACGAGCACCACGTGGACATAACCGAATTCAAGGACTCGGCTGGTGAGCTGGACTTCCCGAGTTTCATGAATCCATTGCCAGCCAAGGTCTTACCCACCCTGGTGCTGATGAAGGACGCAGTCGGAATGTTCCTGGAGCACGCCAAGAGGATGAGAGCAACCAAGGGCATTGTCATAAATACGTTCGACGAGCTCAATTTGCATGCAGTGAGGTCCTTGGTGGACCTCGGGGCGCCCGCAGTGTACCCCGTGGGGCCGATACTAAATCTGAAGAGTGAAACTAAAAAGAAGGGTGGCCGCGGAGGCGATGACATCATGGAGTGGCTCGATGAGCAACCACCTTCATCGGTGGTTTTCCTATGCTTTGGGAGCAGGGGTAGCTTCAGCGACGATCAGGTGAAGGAGATGGCCTGCGCACTGGAGCGGAGTGGGCACCACTTCCTGTGGTTCCTACGGTTGCCACCGCCGAACGGCAAAAATTGGTACCTGCGTGACTACGAGGACTCCACAAAGATCCTGCCTGAGGGGTTCCTGGACCGGACTTCTAGCATCGGGAAAGTGATTGGGTGGACCCCGCAGGCTGCGGTCCTGGCCCACCCGGCGATCGGGGGATTCGTGTCGCACTGTGGACGGAACTCCACCCTCGAGAGCATAATATCTCGTCGCATAACTTTTAATCCGTATCTTATATTTTGACCTCATTCCGTCCGAAAAACGCACCGAATACTAGATTTGCAAGAATATGTCCTCATTCAGCATCTCATCATTTCTCAACCATGTCTTATCCCATCCTTCCCACACGACAGCACTATTGCCGGTCATGCTTCGTCCGAGTAAATAGTAACTTTTTCTCGTCTGGTGTACTTTTTTCTCTGCATCCTTCATTCGCAATTAGTAAGGAAAATTTTTTCTTTTCAAATGCATCGGTGGTTATTGCTTTAGCGACAAGTTAGACTTTTATCGTCAAAAGATTTTTATTTGATCTAATTGACATGGCAGAAAATTAACCAAAACCTCGCAAATTTGGGTCTTCCCAATGTTGCAAATTGCAAGTATACATATAAGGAACTGCTTTACAGAAGCCATATTCACCAGGAACATCCATTACAATGCTGCCTTCGAATTTATTATACGGTGGCACTGAATCCAAATAAGGATAGAGATACAATGACCATCCAAACTCAAGAGAAATCCTTTGGACACATCAAGCGATTGCGTCCACGGCACGCGAAATTTCATCTTAAGATACAGCTCTTACCGGGGGCATATTATTGAAGATATCGTCGATCAAACGGCGGAGGGATGAGCACGACGAACCGCCCTCATCCAAGGCCTTCCGGCTCTTCTCGCTCATCTCCTTTACCTTCTTCCTCTTTTCGCTATCCGCCTCCATCACGCGTCGTATTCCCCTCTCTATCTCTTCAGCAGTCACTGTTGTCTCGCTCTTTATCAAAACATCACTCCTATAGTCCATCTTAATCTCCACGGCGAGATCCAACTCCACCACCGTCTCAAAAGCATTGAATTGTTGCTCCGCATACAGGGGCAATCCTGCAATTGGCACGCCGAACCATAAGCTCTCTAGCGTGGAGTTCCAACCGCAATGAGACACGAACCCCCCGACTGCCGGGTGGGACAGGATGTCCACCTGTGGGGCCCACCCGATCACTTTCCCTATCTCGACCGTCCGATCGAGGAACCCTTCGGGTAGAATCTCCTCGGGATTTGTGTAATCTCGCGGTGGTCCTACCTTGCCCTTGGGTGGTGGCTGGCGTAGGGACCACAGGAACCGGTGCCCACAACGCTCGAGTGCGGTGGCGAACTCTCTCACGGCGTCCGGGTCGAAGCTACCCCGACTTCCAAAGCACAGGAACACCACAGACGACTGTGGTTGATCGTCGAGCCACTTCATGATCTCCAAACCATTGGACGGTCCTGTGCCACCGGTCGACCTCGCGAGGTTCAATATGGGTCCAACTGGATAAACCGGTGGGATTGTGTCGTCAACCAAGGACTTCAACGCATGCGTTTCGAGCTCGGCGAACGTGTTTACGAAAATGCCCTTGGTTTCCCGGAACCTCCTGGCGTGGCCAATAAAAGCCGGGGCGACCTCCTTGACCAGATATATGGCGGGCAAGACCTTGGCAGGCAGTGGGTTCGTGAAGTATGGGAAGTACAATTCGGTGTCCGAGTCCTTGAACTCGGTCGAGTCAATTCCGTGCTCATCCCGCAGCCTCTGGAGATGGAGCATCAGGCCCAGAAAGGCCGCGTTCGACGTGAAGAACATGTACGAGGGGACCCGGAGCTCGTTCGCCACGTCGATCATCGTCGTGCAGAACATGTCGACGACAAGCCCCGCGAGCCGAGGCGAGTCGGGGCCCGAGCCGGACTCAGTGAGCCGCCTGATAGCTTCTTTTACGTGAGGCTTGGAGCTCTCGATGCACAGATCGCGGTTTTTGATGGGGTTGGTCTCCGAGATCAGGCCGATTTCGGGAAGATGAACGAACCGGAAGCGGGCAGCCATCGAGTCGGCGAGCGATCGCATCCGGTCATCGATGCCGGAGTGAGATGCGTACGGCAGCTTAATGATCAGGAGGGTGACGGACACGCGGGGGTCTCGGTCGACCAGGAGCTTCGCCATCTCCACCGTCGACACCAGGTGGCCCAAGCCCGGTGACGGAACGAACACGAGCTCCGCTTTGACCATGCTGATGATTCCGATGGATATGGAGGTCTTTTTCCTCGGTGGTGCCTTCTGATTAAAGTTGATTCGGGATTGGTTGTGGAGACGTTCATGATGGAGGAAGGTCTGAGTTTACTTATAGGAGTCACCATGTGGTCCCCCGCGTGGTGGATAAGCATTTCATTCGCGGCGTCAATTGTTGATTATATGCGCACACCGGTATACAACTGGTGATTAAACTACCTGGAGAAGGCTTACTCTCCCGCGGGTCTCTTTCTCCCAAGTTCAAATCAAACCTTCATCGTGTCTCGGATTCGAGAAACCCCGATCGGCCTATGGCAATGGTTCGGTTCGTGTCGGGCGTCGGATAACTCCGGCTGTACTACAACTCGCATCTAAAGGCTAGTGCAAAACACCCACGGGGTAATACACATGGGAGTGGGCAATGCTAGTGACTGTTACTTTCCGACGGTATTATTCACAAAAGGTTACATTGATATCGATATACAAATTTAATATATTTAATGATATGACAAATTAATGATATATTTATACATAATTCTTAATATATCTAATTTTGTCTCTTCGTAAATTCTTTGCAAAAAAATTTGATTCGTCAATGCACATGCTATTCTTTTTCACTTTAAGAAATGGGGGCAAAATGTTTTTCCTTGGAGATCAAGGAGGGATGATGGCGTGTAGCTGCGATCAAACTAGGTGGAGCAGTTTTGTTTACGCATGGCAAGATCGTGACTTGGGCATCAAGAAAATTTCTTCGTCCTTGATTTGCTTTTCCTTACAGTGATGGAGACATCTCGTGATTGTTTATTATGAAGACGAAGGATGTGATGTGTTGTTGACTAACCTTACCCATTTTTACATTACAATTTTCTTCATTGTTTGGCAAAATTTTAATTCGCCTTAGAAATAAAAACATGGTTCCCCTGAGAATTTTATTTGGACACATGGCAAAGCAATTTGGAAGCAAGTATCAAGTTAATTAATATAAAAAAAATACTTAAATTCAAGCTGAATAGTGAAAAGAGACATTATTAAACTTAAACGTCTTGCTTACTTCAAACATAAGAGCAAGTTATAATATTGCATTTAGATTGGAAGTGTCAGCTATTCCGTGAAAATTAGAGGGACTAGGCACAAATTTGACAGTTTATCGTATCATCTAGGTATAAGTGCACTAAAAGTTTTAAAACTTATCGTAAAAGTGCAATTGAATTTTGTAACTTTCAAAAAATGCAATTAAATCTTAAAGTTTGTTAAATTGGTACAATCAAGTCCCTCCGTTAACTCTGTCTAATTTAAGTACTGACTTGGCTTTATTTATTACTTTCTCAAGATACATGGCGCTGATGTGGTGCCACCAATTTCCAAATTAGAAAAAAAAAAAAGGTTGAAAATTTAAATAGAAAAAGAAGAAAGGATAAAAAAAAATTAGAAGAAAAGAAAATGAGGATAAAAGAAAAAAAAAGAATTGTAAAAGGTAAAATAGAAATAATAAAAAGAAAAAAGAGGTAAGCATGATTAAAATTGCAATCGCCAGGAGGAGGCGTCCCGCAATCCCTTCGCCTTTGACATTTCGGCTAGAAGATCCTCAGCCTTCTCGAGCAAAATCACCTCCAGCAAATATTGCTAAATTTGATTGGAACATCTCCTTGTCCTACAACATGGGCAAAGGTCCCTCCCACGAATTCTGCCACGACAACCATCGGTCGACGGGGGCGGCACAAAGCCGACGGGGGACGCTGCTTCGCCGTTCATCCGTACGCTTTTGCTTTCGACAGGGTATGAGCACATCGTCACGACCATCAATGACCCTGCTATCCAATGCATCATCCTTAGGAGTGTGGCAAGCTATTTCTTTCTCGGACGCCATGAGGGCCGATTCGAGATCAAGATATGCATCTTTGGTATGGCCTCGAACATCCGGAGTAACTGGGCACTGAGCATGCCTTGTCATCCAACAACTTCTACACCGAATCTGTACATTGGCCTTGTTTGGTTCAGCTTTGGGAAGGGGCTTTCGGCCTCGAATGCCCCTTCTCAAAATGCTAAACTAGTTTTGGGCTTTCGGCATTCCACAAATGTTGAACCCAAATTTTTTGTCCCCAAACTATCCTCATTTATTTTGGCTTATTCCAATTTTCTCCCTCTTGATACTATTCATCTTCTTTGTGAGGCGGCCGACGAGTGAGGCCGGTGAGGGCAGCCGACACCGGATCTGGTCAGCGAGAGGCCGACAAGGTCGCACGACCCAACCAACAGCTGCTTGAGGCCGCGCGACCGCCCAGGTGCCACCGGCCTAAGTCACGCGAGGCCATCTGCCGCCTAGGTCGCGCGAGGCCATCTGCCACCTGGGTCGCGCGACCACAGGCGGCCGGTGCCTGGGTCTCGCCGAGGGTCACCTAGCCTCAGGCGACGACCGCCGGCGGCAGATGTAGCTCGTCGGGGCTCGCCCGACCTTGGGCAACGGCTGCCGGCGCCAGATCTAGCTCGCCAGTGGCTGTAGGCCTTCGCCAGCTCCAGCGAAGGGTAGAGTAGGTTTTTTTTTTTAAATAAAAAAGATAATTCCCAAAGCCCTTTTGCGAAAAAAAATTTACCAAACACTACTTAAGCCAAAGTAGCTTTACAAATGATTTTTTACCAAACGCCACTTGCATTTCCCCAAGAGACTTTAATATAAAGGTATTTGCATTCCCCCAAATAGCATTTCGAAAGTTGAACCAAACGGGCCCATTGACCTTTTGCACCAAATTCGTACATTGACACTCAACATCATCTAAAAAACCTATTTTTTTGGGATAATGACAAATAATTTCTAAACATTGGTTCAATGTGTAATATGGTCCATGAACTTTACCCGAATGTGCACTGATGTCACTGAACTTTCAATTTATTCAATATGATCTCTAGATTTTTGGTATATGTTCAAGTTAGTCCGTAAACTATATGATAATGTTTAATCTTATTTTTCAATTAATTCAAGTTCTGAGACATCATTAAACATTTACTTATAGCCCAGGAACTAAATTGAACATGTATAAAAAATTCATGGACTACATTGAACGAATTGAGAGTTCAGGGACAACATTGCACATTGGACTAAAGTTGAGGGACCACATGGAACAAATTAAATGTTAAGGGACCACATTATACATCGGGCCAAAGTTCAGAGACTATTTATGTCATCCCCCATGGTTAAAATTGCAATTGCCGTAAGATGCAGCCCGCAAATACGAATTGGGTCCATCGGTATAACAAAGCTCTTGACATAAATAAATCGAACACAGAATCGAATAATAATATTTGAAAAAGATCATGGAAAGCGGGAAGAAATGTTCAGCGAAAAGTGAAATGCAGGTGCATGAATTCTTGAGAAATCAAAAGAAAACGACAAAAAGCTGAGGGGAATTGCTGGTTATAAGAGAAAGTTCCTATCCGTATTAAGCAAAAAAGGGTCTTGACAATGGAAGAAGAACTAGTGGGAAAGAAGAATTGCAATTTTGCATTGAGGAATGGATGGAGATCGATACTTTTGAGTTCTTCATAGAACTCTGTTACAAGCATGTTTTTCCTAATTGTGGATTTTGACGGGGGTTGAGTTCTCAAGATTGATACGAGCTCGCAGCTATGGCTGCTTGAGCTTGGTCTAGCGGCGACTGGCATTGTCTTGCCTCTTTCTTTAGTTTTTTTTTAATTTCCATCTTTTTTTTTCTTTTATCCTCTTTTCCCTTTTTTAATTTTTATCTTTTATCTTTTTTAATTTTTTTTGATGTGGGGTTTGGTAGACACCATATTGGTGCCACTTGTCTTTAAAAAAAAGTACTAAGCAAAACCACGGTAGCATTTTCTATTCATTAAATTGGACGAAGTTAACAGAAAGATTTAATTACATAGTTTTAGGACTTGATTGAACTTTTTAAAAAATTTAGGACTCAATTGCGATAATTTTAGCTCTTTTGGTGTATTTATCCCTTTTATCTATGTTATTGTGATTCAAGATAATGACAATTTGAAACTTCATAATAGAAAAAAAGCTTTTTAAAGATTAATAAATGCGAGAAGAGCTATAAAGAATGTCTAAATTGTCGTAAGATTAAAAAAAATAAAGGGATAAGTGCACTGGAAGTCCTAAAATTTGTCAAGAAAGTGTAACTGAATCCTAAATTTTACAAAAAGTGCAAATAAGTCTTTAAAATTGTTAAATTAGTATAATCGAGTCTTTTCACTAACTCTGTCCAATTAGACCAAGGAAAATGTTGATGTGGCTTTTTTTAATATTCTCTTTCCTATGTTGCATTGACCTTACTAAAACATGAAATATAAAACAAAAAAGCCTATTTTGGCCTCAATCCAAATATTTAACCAAAATCTTAATTAAATAAAATATAAAACGTATTTAAAAAAAAAAAGAGGCAAGGGCAAGGATGCAAGCCCTCGCTACTGCTACCCCACCGTCGTCAGAAAGGGCCAACGGGGGTTGCTGGGGATTAGCCCTTGCCAATCGCAGGCGAGGGTCACGGCCCTCTACCCAAATCTAGACGAGGGTCGCTAGTCGATGCGAGGTGCCCTCGATGTGGTTTGGCCAAGGGCCACGACAACGGAGCGAGGGTCGCTGGGCCCTTGCCTATGGTTGATGAGGGGTGCCGGCCCTTGTCGAGGCCCCAACAACCCCCGTTGGCCCTTCTCGAGCTCCTTCCAACGCTTTTCGGCGACGGTTGGGCAGTGGCGGCAAGGGCCAACCGCCCTTGCCTTGCCCCTTTTTTGTGTTTTTTTTTAAATATATACATTTTTAATATAATATAATTAAGATTTTGGTTTAAAAATTAGGATTTAGGCCAAAATGATGTCGTTTTAGTTTTATATTTCATGTTTTAGTAAGGTCAATGCCTCGTAGAAGAGAGAAAATATAAATAAAAAAGAAAAAAGAAAAACTACTTCAGCATTTTCCATTTGTCTAATGGACAGGGTTAATATAAAAACTTGATTGTACCAATTTGATAGGTTTTGGGACTTGATTACATTTTTTGTATGTTTTAGGACTCAATTGTACTTTCGTGATAAATTTTAGGACTTTCAGTGCTCTTATCTCAAAAATAAACAAATCATTAGTTT